TCTCACAAAAGCTTCGACAAAAAATTAAGTTTGTATCTATACAACAAATTAAAATTATTTAAAAAGTTCATTCCTAGTTTCTACTTAGTTTCATCCAGTATGTTATAGGTAGTAGAGACGAGCGGAGTAAGTCGTCCAATTATCTCCATTATTTTCAGTTCTCTGCATAGCCAACGATCGCCTGGATGCAAGCACCAACATGAAATATGGCGAAGCCGTTTCGCGAGGCCGGTAATTAAGCAATCTATCAGGTGAGTCCGACAATCGACACATAAATGAGATGGAACTTATGCCGTTGTAATGAAATCATAAATTTCCGTTTTTAACAATGACGGGCCTCTCGGGGGGAAACAATTATTTAGCTAGTCGCATGACGAAGATCCAGGTCCGTAATCAGAGACGGGCAGTTATCGAAAGTATACCTGTAGGAAATGAGAGAAATATGTGGAAAATACGTATAAAAATAAATCCAACCCCTATCATGATTTTTTGGCATCGGCACTTATATCAGCGACTATATATTTACGTTTAGAATCGTTTCTGAGGCCCGGGAACGTTTTTACGATCCGCATGAATGATCGCCGGGCGATAAATACGGTTCCCGATCCATAACTTCGTTTGTGCTGGGCGGCCTTTCGGCTTTCAGCAGTTTTGTGGAAGAGGCCGCTGAGCGTGAATGCGGCGGCGGCGTCTTGAATGGCGACGCGCAGCGTCTAAAAGCGACTTTAAATCATGGCCCTAATGGCGCTATGAATCTGGACGTCCGCGCTGATCAAATTAAATCCTTAGAACTGGCCCGGCCATTCGTTATTATTTCTTCTTCTTCTTCTCGCCGAGTCTCGGGGACGGGACGTTTGACCGACCGCGGCCATGGCGGAAGCTCAACTTCGCTAAGTGATTTACTATCGACGAGCAACCGAGCGTGAGACGATTTTCTTGTTGTTTATTGGATACGTACTGAGTCTTGGTGTCGCCTATGAGGCGATTTATAAAAAAAACTATTGTTTAGTTGCAGATAAAGATATCGAAATATACCCCCCGAGGGCAAAATTCGTTTCTTATATAACTTCCCCCAACCACCAACAAATATTCTTGATGATGTTACTCTAATTTTTTAATATTTTTAAGAGCGGTTTTTTCAAACAATTATTTGTTAATTAACCTAATATTTGGTTGGTTATTTAACGAGTCGGTTTTGCCTGATACGTTGAGGCGTTCAAGGAGCGTTTTTGTTTGGAATATTTACAATGCGATACCGATCTTTGGCGAAAAGATAATATTATGATATCTTACTATAACATTTGATTTTAAGTAACGATGCGTTAAGGTTTGAACGTTTACCGAAAACATAAGTTTCCTCCATATCGGTATCATAAAATGGTATAATTTATAGAGGTTAACAATACACATATTTACTCGTTTTTTTAGTAAACGCCGAGTTAATAGATTTTTACAATAAATTAGCCGATCAATGTGTGTAAATTAGTACGCAAATGGGAAACAACCTCTTTACATAAAGGAGGAATTTCGTATTAAAACATATTTACCCACTACCGCATGTTTGTTCGCTTTAAAATTGGCTCGGCATCCAATTCGATTTTTCGTTTTCAAACTAATAAATTCGCAAACGCATCAGCGTAATATTCCACCCGATATAAAGGAAACGAAAAAAAATACATTACGGGTGAAGTCTTTGGCGCAATATATCAATTTTATGAAAGCGTACCATTATACCAACATTGCAATCAATGAATCCATTCCATGGTATCGATTATTACAATTGCGTGCTAAACTGCGTTCTATAAATCAAATCCGTGACAGACCTTTGCACATAGTTTGCTTAGGGGTACCAGCACATTCTATTTATCGAATATATCGAATTCAACTGCAGATATAAATTACCTACTGATCGTCAAAGGAAAGCATTATGTATGATTTTTCTCTTCGCCCAACACACAGAAAATAAATTCGTTTGTAATAATTACATTATTTGAAACCTGCTCGAAAGATAGGACTTTTATCTTAAATTTATTTAAGTCGACAAATTTCTCACACTCGAGTAAGTTCCCATTAATAGCGATGCTATTTAAACACAATTCTAAATAATATTACCCACTGTATGTTGTTCACATCATCTTATAACTTAATAAATAATAACTTTAATTTACGGTAACGCCATATATCTGTCCGAAAAGCAGAGAAAAGTGTGTGAATTTCGAATGCGGTTGCGGAGACACTTCCGTTTATCCTGTGATAACTCCTGACAAATTTATGTCCTTTGATAATTAAATACAATGAACTGGAACGTTGAATTTCGGTAAAAAAAAGAACGTTTATTTGGTTTATAAGGAAACGCCGCGTTTATTACTACACAAATGATAATGGCAGGGACTTTCTGCATTGTTAAATGGTTATTTTTTAAATAAACGCTTATTAAACGCTCCTCTTGCACGTCCGTTTGGATTGATAACGGACGAAAACGTCCAGGAAAACGTGACAAATGGCATCTCCCTGAGAGCACACCTCCCGACAAATAAAACGGATTTATCGTCCTCTATTAGAGCCCAACAAAAATTTGGAACTTTTCGAATTTATCGCCACATAACCTAAATCAATTTCGCGAAACTGCCGCTTCGGCCATAACAAATAACTAAACGCCAATAACGAAACTTCAATATGACACACTTCACATCTTGGAGTTTTAGGTGACACAGACATCAAAACTCCTGCTCGGCATCTGTACCAGCACATCCTCAAAGGACCTTTCTCATTGGCGTAACAATGCCATTTCAAATCCTAAATTAAACTATACAGTTTGTATATTATTTTTCTTTGAATAAAACACCAAGAAAAGTGTGGTTTAACACTATTTTCTTGCTAATTATACTTTGACAGTTTTTGCTTTTCTATGATGAGTTAAGAAAGCCATTGCAAAGCTATTTTTTATTTAGTAATGCTTTCTTTTGGTGCATTAATCTAACAATTAGCAGTTATAATATTAACCCTTTTTTCGGTACGTCAATGTTTCCTTAACCTTTCTTTCCATCTCCCCTATTGGACCTTCGTTGATGTCCTCATTTCGTCTAATGCTCCAATTTGTCGTCTTTCGAATGGTTACTTTTCTTTCTTATTGTTTCATATCAAAGTTTATCGTCGACGATGGGAGTTTGCTTTTGTTGGTCGATGGGGTGCGAATACGAAATTTTCCTCCCCTTGCTTTCTTGATCGTCGAAGTATGCCGTTTGTATAAATTTGAAAAAACAACGCCGGTGCAATATTTTTTTTATAATCTACCTATCAAGTGCCTCGAAGCAGATACCTCGTCGAGTTTAATTTTTTCAATAGGGTGGGTACTTATTATTTAGAATAAATAAGAAAGAGGCAGGAGAGAGAAATGGACATAATTTATGAATGTAAAACCCATCAAAAGGGATTCTTCTTGGGTTACATCACATCCATCTCGGTTCGAAAGAAGGGGATTTAATCAAGGCGACTGACAATAAATTAAACCGTACATATTCCGCTCCGAACCCCGAATTAAACTTATTATTAAAAAACGTAATTTACTGTTCGGGGTCCAGATTCCAATTTATATAAAATAAAATTTATAGCTCGTCATATCCCCCTCAATCTGGTTTTCTCATGACCCGCATGACGTACGGAGCAGGCCTTGGGTATAGTCGTCATGGCTCACTGTGACAGCGCGCTACAAAGATCCGAACGATTTATGTCACTCGGGTCTTTTGTGTTTCACCTAACGCACCATGCATTAGCGCTAATAAATCAATTTTATGGTTTTGTAAATCAAACTTCGCTGTGTAATAGTATTCACGGACGGAGAAATGGGGAGGAAGGGAAGACAGTTTGGACTTTTGTCTTTTCTTTCGCATGTACAACGGCGTTAAAACTCTACAAGACTTATTATATTCGCTTACAAAAGGGTTAAAAAAATTCTTCTATACCAAAAAAATACGTTGTTATATTCAATTTAATATTATAATTGACGCAACGCATCTCGGCGTTTGTTAGAAATTTTCCAGTGGGAAATCAAAAAAAAATACCAGCAGAAATAATACCCTGGAACCGATAAATTTCTCCAGTTTTCCGGGGGCTTGATGCGGCTGCTATCTCGCATCTCGTCTATCTGGAATCACGGAACGTGTAAAATACGCCGGCGGAGTCGGAGCCAGAGAAAAGATCATTGTTAAGAGGGGGCCCCCGCGACAACGTCGTATAAAAGGGCCCGTTTCTGCTATATCCATAAATTTGGTGCAACGGCCTCGCCACGCCATGTGATGTAAGCCGAAAAGGCCCTAAATCTACTTCTATTATCTAAATGGGCGTCGGAGTATTTGTTAGACAGTATGTGTATGGAGTTCCCCCCGCCAAAAAAAACATTTTCTAATACACTTCTCATTGGCGTACATTTTTCACTAATTCTGCTCAATTTTTAATATTTTTAGTAGTTGTAATTAAGCGACCCTCGTATATTTAAAATTTCAGATTGCCAGAGTTTTTTTTTTGTTCATCGGCCGTCCGTCTTCTGAGCGTCACATTTCCAGGGCTCCGCCGGCCGAGCGGCGTTGATAAGAATGATCCGCAGATACAGGAGGAAATTAAATTTATTCTGCTCGAGGGAATTAGCGACTTCGGGGGCAAATATTTATTTCTAATTCATGCAAACGCCGGGCCGGAGCGGGGCCGATTAGACTCGAGCAAGGGAATCGTCCTGCAGAGGAGAAATGAACGAGCAAGCGGCGTATTAGGTAATTTTGAATTTGATAATCACTAGTGAAATGTTCATTAAGTTTTTATTTTTTTTTTTCTCTTAGATTCGGCCACTTTGCATTTGCTATTAATTGCTAGGTAGGTACATACTTTTTTTAATTTATTTGGAATGAGGAATAAAACATAAATTAGTTCATAACATGTATTTATTTGAGCTTTCATTGCGATCAAATACAACAAAATATTAAATAAAGTTAAATTTTTCGAAACATAAAAAGAGCTTCGCCTTGAATAATCAGCTAGTTTGCGTATACATTTTTTTGTATTATTCAGTATATTATAATAATTATTGATAAATATAGTCACTTTAAAAACTTTGTTTGGAAGATGAGATGTTTACGACAATACGTATACTTAATGTTTTGTAAATTTTATTTTATAGTAAAATTTCTCTCTTAAAACATACAACTGAAATTAAAATAATCAACGGAAGTGTTGAAAATTTTCACGGCTACAATTTAGTACTTTTCAAGAAAATTTGTGGTTACTTTAACCAACAACTAGTTTTTTTTACATCTAAGTTGTTACCAATCAGGCGATAAAAAATTTCAAAGTATTATGATTTTCAAAACTTGACCATCCACCACTTTAATACATTGTGGTAATAGATAAAATAAATAAAATAATTAATTTGATATATAATTTTTAATGCTTTCTTAGTACGTATTGGTTTTAAATTATTTTAGGTTTCGTTTGCACAAAATTTGTCGCATTTGACTTTGCAAATTACTTTACCTATAACTGAAATTTTATTAAAATATTTTTTTATAAAGAGTAGATTTTTGAGAGCATTTTTATAGTACATATTGGATATTAAAAATACTTTAATTTCTAATAAACAGGGAAAAGTTCTGTTTTGCGTGCTATAATGCACTGTTTCTTAAGAGGAATTAGTTAAGAAATATTTTATTGCCTGATTGGTAAAGGACTGTAATATTCTGGAATCGGACCCAAATCAAAAACTAAAACCATTTTAGTACGTATTACAATTTTGACACTAGAAACATCACTATATTATATTAAATATTTTGATTATTAGTTTTTGATCTGACTGATAGCGGATCTCCCTAATAAAGAGAAAAAGTATACATTCTTACAATACTGTCTTATTTCATAATTATATACACATATTTTTGTGACTTAAAATTCGTATAACAATCATAATCACTTGAGATTCTTGATGTTTTTTTTTCGCATATACATTGTAGTAGTACTAACCTCTACGCTTTTTTTTTGTTTTATTACTATTGGTTTGAATTTTACGATATGATAACATCACAAAACGCCGCTCAAAGCGGCTTTTACGCCTTCAAGACTATATTCACTTTTACAAAATAGGAATGTATCTCAAAAATTGAACACTATTTACACGTATTTACTAGATAACTGTTTGGCCAGCTCAGTGTATTTGAGAAACTTCGAATGGGGGCTTTCCTCGAACGCGCCGGCGGCGGGCGGGCTCTTGGCTCCCGCTGAACCGGCCGCTGATACGCTAGGAGGTAACGCGGTGGTACTTTTCAAAGGTATACCAGCATTGGAAGAACTGGATGGTTGCGAAGTCTTTAGAGCCACCGGATCCGGTATCACGCCGTCTTTGACGAAGTGCATTTTGGACAAGTGGTGTCTGTAAGCCCCCTTCGAAATGAACGGCGTATCGCAGAAAGCGCATTTCATGATCGAATCCGACGTCATGACGGCGTCGTTGCAGGCCCAGCTGAACGCCAGAATGGCGCCGGGCGTGGTGCCGCTCGCCGTCGTGGCGCTGTTGCTGGTGCTCACCGTGGAATTGACCACGGTCGACGAGGCGTGACTTCTGTTGTTCGTGTGCGTTTCAGTCTTGTCGCAAAGCTTCTGCAAGGCGGCCAAAGGGTGGCTGGAGCCGCGCTTGTTGCCGTTCGGGTTCGATTCGTTGGCGGAATTCGAGCCCGACAGGCTGTCGAACATCGAGCTTAGAGCGCCCAGAGCGCCCGGCGGTTTTTTGTCGCCGTTGGTGCTCCTCGGCGTGCCCGATCGCTCGCTGCTGGCCGGACTGCCCGTGGAATTCCTGCACGGGCTGCTCGGCTGGCCCGAGTCGCTCGGTTGTCGCGGACTGGTAACTGGAGTTCTCCGTTTGTCTTCCTCCTCCTTGGATATATCGCCGTTGCTGTGATAGCTGTTGCGATCATCGTCTTCGTTTTCGTTGACTTCGTGTTTGACTTTGACGTTGGGGAACGTTCTTTCCTCGTCGTCGATCTCTTTTTTCACAACCACCGAGTCGGTTTCAGTTTCATTGGCACTGCTGTTTTTTTCGACGAAAGGCGACCTTTCTCTTTTGATATCGGGAGTAGACCTTGGTGTACTTGTTATGGGCACACCTGGAGGTTCCATTTTCCTCTCGGGTGTGAGCGAATCGATTCTGCTGCTGCCTCTTTCTGACATAGAACTCGATTCGCTGCCGCTTCTTTCTCGTCTACCATACATTTGATTTTGCTGCTGTTGGTGATAGTTGCGTAACAGGTTCATCGTTTGGGCATCAACAAGAGGTTTCGTGTAATCTACAGTCTCGTCTATTCCTAGTCTTTTTAAAATGCTGCTACCCATGGGCGCCTGCGATTGACCGTGTCCTGGGAAATTGGCGTTCTGTCGAGATCTCGAATCGAAGCTCTTTTCGATTAGTTTCTCGATGGCGTTTAAAACTGACGGGGAGGAAACGTTGTTGGTTTCAGGTACACCTGAATTATCTTTCGAACTTGTATCGTTTATAGGAGATCGTTGTTGGGGCGACGGCGACTTATCAGACGGTGTTTTGAGTTTCTCTCTATTCGGGCTCTCCGGCGGTAAAATATTACTGGACATTAAAGCGTTTTTTAGAAAATTCCTTTGGTTACTAGTCATACCGCCGACGCACTGTCTAATGTGATCTACGAATTGAGAAGTTTCGATTTTATTGCCGCATTTTTCGCAAGTTATTCGACCGGCTCCGGTGACGTCGCGCATTTTATCCAAAATGCCGGTGCTGTCGCCGTTTTTGAACTCGTGCTGCGCCCTCTCCAATTCCAAGAGCTTTCTCACTGGCAACGATTTCTTGCGTTTCTCTCTGGTTTGCCTCCGCCTTCCGCCGCTTTCGGTTAACGATCTCATTATGTGTTCTTTATAATGCGAATTTTTGACCATGTGGTTGCTCAATTCTTTTAAGGAACTGAATGCTTGATCGCAAACTTTACAGGTGAGGACAGCGCTCACGTGACTACTCGTACCTCCTGGAGGTGGATTCGGTCCGGGGGGCCCAGCTCCACCTCCGCTACTTCCATCTTTAGAACCGTCCGTTGACCTCCAGGAGATGATTTGCTCTTGAGATATAATGTTTGTGTAATGTTGAGTCTGCTGCATGTGATTCGTCATTTCGGCTAAAGACCTGAAGCTTTGGCCGCACCACATGCATTTCAGTATCTGCCTGGTTTGTTCGGCACCTTTTCCCAACCAAACGTCCTGTCCTCTCACTAGTTTCCTTGGCAATGGCATCGTTTCTTTGATTAGCATATTCAAATCTGACGGATTAGGTTTGTTTGAATTCGACGATGAAGAACTGGTATTCGTATTAGAAGGTGAAGAAATAGGCGGTTGAGGAATGAGATTACTCGATTGCATAGAAGGGACGGGAACGTTAACCCCACAATGTTTAGCCTCTTTCATGTGAGTCGTCATGGCGGCCAAGCTGGGGAAACTCTGTTTACACCACACACATTTTAATACATCTTTGGCTTGTTCAGCACCTTTGTTCAACCAATGCGATTGCCAAGCGCTGTGTCGATTGCTGGCCGAATTGATGGGAGCGGCGTTGGCCATCGTTCTGAATATATCGTCGCCGCCCAGCTTGCTCAATTCGCTCATTTTCTCTAAAGCTTTCGTCGCGTCGCTCGGCGCCGGCGGTACGTGCTTCATCTTACCGTTCCACAACTCCGAGGAGTTGTTCTTCGGCGACAAACCGGCCGCGGCGAGCGTCGCCGCCGCGAAATAGTGCGAAGCACCGAGACTAGGAGGCCATTGCGGCAGCGTCGCTTTGAACTCCGTTCGCGGCTTCCTGGACAAAGGCTGCGCGACGGGTTCGTCGGAGCTGCGCTTGCGACTGGTCACCGACAAGTCCAAGGGAGCGCCGCTCTCCCCGACCATCGGGGAATTGGGCTTGCCGAAGTTCGCGTCGGAATCGCTGTCGCCCGTATCGCTCTTGCTTTGCCCTCGCTTACTGAAGTCCAGTATACCTTCGCTGGTGGGAGAGTGGCTGGGCTGTTCGACGGGAGAGTGATTCGAAGCGCCGGGAGGCGACGAGGAAGACGTAATTAACGGAGAAATGGGAGCCCTCGGAAAGCTCGGCGGCAGAGGCGATGTCATCATGAGCCTGTGAGATTGCTGAGCCACCGCGTTGAGATAGGCCGCCATGGCGGCGGATTGTGGCGGCAGGAAAGCGGCCGCCGCGGCTGCCGGTATTGTAGGCGGTAAGGTGACGCCTACGGGGCTCAGGGACGTGCCGAGCGGGATACCGCGAAGCAGGGCCGCTCGTTCGGATAGCATCGATTCGCCTGATGGAGACCGCGGCGGACCTGGAGATTCGGCGGAGTCTCTCGAATTACGCGACGGTGAATTTCTGTAAAGGAAACGCAGCCGGTGAATAAACTGAAGGGTTTGTTTTTGATCGTGCGAATTACCTGCAAATGCTGGTATCCTCGATTGGCGATCGCGGACTGTTGGGACTCAGCACATCGCCTGGCGGCGGGGACGTGACACCATCTTCGTGCGGGGCCGGCGAAGTGGCTGATGTCGGTGTCATCGATTCCAAATCGTCTTCGCCTTCTAGCTTGTCCCCTTCCTCTGGCGAACCTTCTTCACCGCCTTCCCCTGAAACAAACAAAAAATATTTTATTAATATACTACGCAAACAACTTCAAGATTTCGTATTAGAATTATAGCAATCTTGGAATGTTCATTCCAATTAGATAAATATAACGTAAAGTGTAGTAAATAATTGACAACCCACTTTTTTATAATACGACATGAGATAAAAGTAGTAGAACTACATAATCGTTGATTTTAATTCATGCTGGTGATAATTAAAATGTGAAAAACGTTATTGGTACAGTGTATAAAGTATGTAAAGGTATAATTGATTTTAATTGAACATTTACTATAGGTAAGGTCGCTTAAACAATTCAACATTGCAATATTATATCAATTTTATTAATTAGCCCGCCATATACGAAAGCTGTCGCAAAATGTTGCGTAAGTTTCTTTGTTTAGAAAGCAATATTAATTAATTATACATAATTTATGTGAATAATAGGTATGTCCCAATAGTCTAGACTGTAGTATAAGGAAGAAGAAATATAATATGTTAAATTGCATTTAGTGGGAGGGATAATTGCGCCATTGTCCCCCTTTAAACCCTCGACTAGTCCGTTACCGGTATATTCTAGAGTTTGCATGAGGGAAAAACATTATCACCACATCTGCGCACGTCAACCATTACAAGGTCTTTTTATGAAATATGATGTAAATCAAACGTACCACATTAATACAGATTTATTTATTGCCATAAAGACATTAAATCATTCAAGAAGTGACATCTGCTGTTTGCCTTGAACTATCACGTTTTCGTCGCTCGTTTCGATCGCCGACTATATATATACCAGGTGTTGCTCGTTTAATTGATGGCTTTTATTCACAAATAAAAATCATTTTTCGATGTGAAAAATTCTTGTAAATTAGCGTGGGCTCACTCCTATCTCTAACGGGACGTTCTTGTTTCAACAACAATTTTAATTGTTTCTTTAAGTTAATGATTAATAAATTTAATAAGTTAGATGAATATACCTTTATCATTAGTTAACACGTTTTTTGCTTGATGACACGAATGTTTTCTTCTCTAAAGGAACACGTTTACTAGAAAACATTACTAGTTTATACTTGCAACTAAAGTCATCTCCTCCCTACCGGTTTGTTCTTGTTCTACCTATTGCCTCCCCTTTGTAAACAAACGTAGGTAATAAAACTCACCTGCGGTTTTATTATTATAAATTGTGATAACACTGTTTCGGTTTTTTTTTTTCGGAAAGATTAATAAAAAAACCGCTTTGTTTGGTTTGCATTTCGTGCGATGTTTGTTGTTTGTTTAATTAAAAAGTTCGTTAACTAATTATCTGTCTAATTAACCAAAACGTTTTATTAAAATATTAATCAATGTCGAAGCAATCGACCATAATCTGCGATTTAGGAAATTCTATTACACCTACTACACTACTAATCGAGCATAATTTACAAGATTAAACGAGACCATCGAATCCGAATACATAAATAATTAAAAGGAGATTAGTGATTAGTAAAAAATCCTGTTATTATGAATGATATTTTTCATGCTAAACGATAAGATGTCTCATTCAAAGAATCATTAATAACCTCTTTAATTTTAGTGGATTCATTAATAGCCGATCGGGATACTATCGTTCGCAACTAAAAATCCTTTCGACTGGTAGTTTTGTATTTCGAAAAAAAAAAAAAAAAACACAAGCAAACGATCCGGCGCATCGCAATTCTTGAGAGGACGAAGATCGTCCATCGGGGAGGCGTGCTCGCGTACATATCCGCCGTGAATTCGCTGTCCAAACACGGTTCAACAATGAACAATAGCAACATAAATCAGCGTAATTAGTTTCAGTATAAGCCGTTGTATCTACATGCTGAGTCGCATCGTCGACCCATTGGTTAGATTCGGTCGGATATACTCCGCCTTCTCCATTGCCCGGTTTTGTTGCTCGCTCTTTGCTCGCTCTACGAAATAAATGCCCGATCCTCCATGGGATGGGAGAGAGACGAGATCGCGTGTGTGCGTATGTGCACGTTTACGTATTTACTTTGACTGTACGTGCTGACACGGCCCGACGCTTGTGCAGGTAGATATTCCATGCGCTCGACATTGCCAAAAAACCGGCCGTTCGAAAATATTCAATAAAAACCCGTGCCAGACACGCCAGGACAATTGCAATATTCTTATTCAATTATCACATCGATATTATACACCTGAAGCATTAAGTAATAACTGTCTTTACCTTCAATGTCATCTAGATTAATTAATGTAATTAGACATGTTTCTATTAATACAAAAAGTGAAGAAGATAGGTATAATACACACACGAGGCTATCTAGATTAATTAATGTAATTAGACATGTTTCTATTAGTACAAAAGTGAATAATACACACGAGGCAATCCCAAAAAAAAAGCTTACGCTTAACTGAAAGCGTCTCGATACAATCGTTAATTCTAGTACATTAATTTTTCATGCCGCTACATTCACCGGTATTTTTTTCTTCGTATTTTTATCAGCGAACAATAAATCATTGTATGATTTACGACTCCGCCTTACCTACATATTCCAAAAGGATGATGTCACGATATACTAGCCCACATGACGGTAATAATTCCATTGCGAATTCTTCCTATATCCCTCGGAAATCAATCGGCTCGAATCGAACGAAAATCGGACGCGCTTTCCTCTTAAAAAGGATAGCATTAATTGATCCAGGACCTCTGTCTAGGATTCCGCTACGTGAGCGGCCTTAAGTTCCGGCCGACAAGGCTAATTGATAATTAAAATGCACGGGGGTCAGCACATGCCAATCATTTACCAAACGCTAACGTCGCTAACGAAAGACTAGTTACCGCGGCGGTGTTGCCGCTAACAATGTCCAGAAAATACCTAACTATATGTATAAACTGCTCCACAAAAGTTAAGGAAGTTTGCAAATTTTGCGATTATTTTAAAAGTTACAGACTTTTTGATCGCCAAATTTTCAAATATGCGAAATTAAATGTTTTCTCTCGTATCTGAGTGGATTTTTTGCCCCTACCTCTACAACTCATTAAATTGGGCGATCAAAAAACCTGCAACTTTTAAATTAATATCAATATTTGTGAACTTCCTTAACTTTTGTGGAGCAGTATATTCAATTAATAAAAGTCGACAATTTATCATTCCCTCGATGTCTTATACTTATAAGAATTTAATTTGTTGAGCTATAGTGCAGAGTGTAATGGAATATTTGTGTCATTAGCTAATTTGGTATAGGTCAATTAGTATAGGTAGATTTGTTTAAACATTGTGCGATTTTTAAGCGCACGCTCGTGTGGAAGTTGCGCCGTAATCGCTTCGATAGGTAAAGGTTAATGCGAAATTTGATACGTCGTGCGGTAAACTTCGAATAACACAAATTGATTCGTGATGTAGGTAACGCTATTCCACCGACAAAGAACCATATAACAATATAAAAACTAAATTGGATTTTCTATTCTAAACTTTAGTGCACTTTCACATTGTTATTTAATAATGCTCGCTGTAACAAGTTAAATTTATATTGATCGCGAGTTATTAATTATTATTGTTTACTCGTTTGACATATGCGGGAGTACACGATGCAATGCAAACGCGTGGAAAAAGTGAGAGTTTTTTTCTAGCAAGTTTATGAATATTTAAAAAAATTAAATTTAGTAATAGTAGATAAATTGATTTCTAATTAGGTATAATTGATAGTAGTTATACAGGTTGCTCCATTTTTGATCGCAACATAGGTTATATAGGCTATGAGTGTGATAAAAACAACTTCCATAAGACACTTATAAAGGAAAAGGAAAGAGTGACATTTGTGTCATTGCAACTTTTTACTCTGACAACTGTCATTTTAACAATCTTTCTTTGTTCTACTCATAGAAATGACCATGTTGCAATCGGAAATGGAGCAAGGTGTATATTGATTAATTTAAAGTAATATTTAGTGTCAAATGATATCCCAACTTTTGATTTTTAGCACTTTTATAATTTATCTTAATTAATTCTGTAAAATTTAATGAAGTGCTTATAGTAATAACTATTTGCATATATAGTATCTGAACACAGACAATACAAATTGTATTATGCAATTACCCGAATATCGCGTTTTTATATGGTTCAGCTCGATTAGCGGTGATCGCAGGATATTTATCGAAAGATGAAGAACTCGAAGAATTCATAAATTCAATAACGATTTGGCAACGTGGTCCGAATCCGCGGCCAACTCGACCGAGCGAACTCTCTCACGTAGCGATCGGCGCCTTCGCGATTCCACGGCAGCAATTACAGCGCCTCATCCGCAGCATTTTAATGCAGAATTATCATTGCAACGATTCTACACTCTTTTACGTGACGCAGAAGTTGATGGATGGCGAAAGGCCGCTATTGAATCCGCTATTGGATTTTCCTTCGACGTTGGTACTTTTTTGAATACGAATCGATCCTCTAGGCCGTTATTCACGTGCGCCTAACGCAGTCCGACTGTCGGCTGACTTCGCACGTGCACCGACAAAATGCTAATTAATTAAAGGCCCTGTCGGTGGGGATGTTAAAAAAAATTCCCAGCGTATATACACCGGCTAATTAAAATAACGAATTTATTGAATAAAACCAGCGTTTTCCGTCATAAATTCGCGCCGGTTTCTTTTTCTTCGGCGACCCGAACGTGATGAACACGTCGCGATTAACCAAGTCGACCGCAGCCTTGGTAGCCGGATAATCCGGAACGCCGTTCCTACGGCCGATGGTATCAACAAATTGTTCATGTTAAGGGGCAGTTATACACATGGTCGTTCGGCTTCGAACAACAGCCACCGATTCCCTATAAATTGGCGGCGATCAGATCGACCGGAGTTTCACCCGGAGGCCGTGCTTCGGTCGCGTATAACGTACGCTTTCCCTCTTCTGCACACTAAACTCGACGAGGTTTCACATTCATTAACGGCCATCTGATAGGGAGCCGTTCGCTAAAAATCGCGTTTTTCTCCATTCTCGGAATTAATCGCGTTCTTTAGTCGAGC